AAACTGGCATGCCTTAGCAATTCTAGCATCTTTTTATTGTTTCAAATAGTTGAAATCGACTTAATATCGCATGGACATAGTATTAATCTCATATCTTTCAGGTCCAGTAATTTAGTACGTTGTTAAGATCATATATTGCAATAATAACAGTGCCAAAGACTAATTCTATTAATTACCATTGCTATATTATCAGTTTTGTTGTATTGCCATCATTGTGGTTTCGTGTCTTTGGAGTTCGGATATTTGTTATATATTTTTTCTCAGCAGCTCTTTTATTATTATGTCGTTATTGTTATTATTGTCATTATTGTTATCATCGTTGTTGTATCTGTTATCTCTTTGATTATTCATTGTCATTTTGTTATTGTTATCATTATCTATATAGCATTACTTCTACTGATTAATTATAAGTAACATTTCCATTATTGTTGCCACTGACATAACTAAAATGGTTGTTCTATGTGATTTGCTGTAAAAAAATATTCCAGTCTCGATGTTGAATTTTCGACTGACATTGCATTCTTGACAAGCAGTGTTAGCAGTCATACTTCTTCATATATCAAACTGTGGCATGATTTTTCTTTTTTCTTTTCGTGAACGGAGAATGTATAAATTCTTAACGCTGTAGCAAAAGCGCATGTGACCCAGATTACTAGGCGTGTAAACATCGTCATTTAGCTTCGTATAAAAAAGCAGTTGTAAGCTAGAGAGAGGTAATAGGGGATTTCAAGAAGGGCAATTAAGAACGTCACATTTAAATCAGGGCGAATTTCATACCATTAATATTTTCAACGGCATTCGTTTAGGAGAATATCGATGTGTTTGTTAATATGAATAGTGGAAATGAAATAACACTGATGATGAAAAGTAGTAACTATGCCCGTTATTGTAGCGTTAATCAAGTGCCTAAATAAAGCCCTTATGTCGCCAATACATAATCTATTTTTCTTTGCTCAGGAACAGAAGATAATGCATTTCAACTCCGAGAAATTTTCCCTATAACTTCCTATATATATTATATATATATATATATATATATATATATATATATATATACTTATGTTTATATATATATGTATGTATATATATATATATATATATATATATATATATATATATATATATATATATATATATTATATATATATATATGTGTATATATATATATATATATTATATATATATATTATATATATATATATATATATATATATTATATATATAATATAAGAATGACCCGATTAATTAATTTCGGTTTCTGAACGATTAATGCAGTTTGCGTGAGAGAAGCAGTCTTGATTCCGAGCGCTTTGCAGCTAGTGTATCAGTCGAATCAAGGAAGTAGCAACTGCATGACAAGGAAGTGTCCTAGAAAGCCTTTCAGAAAAAGAAATAAAGAAAAAAATAAAGGTGGTAACACGCAATCTGTATCACCATATTATTAAAACAAAAGTAATAGCTCGAGAAACCACAATTTGGACACCTAACTTGCATAGTCATGATACGAGTGATATTTCGAAAATTCTCCGTTGCACCTGGCGGCATGGATAGCGGTCCGAGGGAGGTCGACTGGCTGAGTTGAAAGAACCTGTCAGTGCGTGGTTGACTGTGGTGAAGAGTAGACTACAAGCTTGTCGCTCTCGGACGAGGCCCGCATGGTGCTGACGATTTTGAATTTGTTTTGCGCTATTTTTTTATTATTATGCGTTTTAAAGGGATTGATGATGTCTTCCTCTAGTTTCCTTTATATATATGGAGACTTGTTATGTTGATAATGTCATCGATAATAACTTTGTGACTAAAAAGAAGACTGCAGATGATTTTTGACAAGCAGAGATGTATACATGATTTCGGACGAACTTTCAAAACATTTTCAAGAATCAGTCACAATATAAATTACTAAAGGAAATACACTTGTAGTTGCGATAACATTGTCATTTAACAATAATACGGCACGTTGCATTTGTAATCAGTTCAACATTATACAACAATGGGGAAAACATGAAAAGATATGATATAGGTAGATGTAATGATAACAGTGTGTATTTATGACAAAATTTCCATCGAATGCTAAAAACAATGACTGTGACGAGTAAGTCTGCTGTGACGAAATATTCTCCAGAAAATGGTTCATGTGTGTGCAGAGCGATAATGGCTATTGAATATTGAGTATGGTATTGGTATCAATAAATTATCTAGCAGTTGTCACTTATGTGTAGACAGGTGGCTCATTTAGTACTCATTATCGAAGCCTTGGTATGAGTTAGATATACTGTTGATCGGCAGTTTGGTCATACACCAAAAATTCTAAATGCGAAAGAAAAAAGTAAAAGAATTATTGTGACTTATTTTATTTATTTTTTCAAATGGATATCTAGAGAACTATGGTGGAACATGATGGTGGAGCTCTAAAAGGGTAACCATTTATTTATATATTCATTTATTCATCCATTACTACATATGTTCCACAGAAAGGAGTATAGACGGATGTATAAATGTT